CTAAGTGTGTCAAGATATGTCTGAATGAAAGCTAATGTACAACTGTGACCTTTTTAAATGACATGTCTAAGAGTATAAGATTCATATAATATTTATAACAATTTTTTTTTCTAGTGAAAGTCAATACAAATTTTTACTCAGGTTGAAAGCAGTCATTTACATTTTCAGCAAATAATTTAATTCTTCCTTCATATTACTTATGAGATGTAGGAAAAGAAATCAATTGATCCTGATTAATACTCTCCACTTAATTGAGCTAAATTTTAGATAATGTGTTAAAAATGTATATCTTCCCTCCTTTGTAACTCATATTTATTTCTAGGGTACCATTTTATTTGTTAAATAAAGCACTTAAATATTTTCATTACAAATGAAACTCTGCTTCATTTTCTACATATTCATTTTAGACACTAGAACACCCCCAAAGTATATGATGATCAGAAAAATGAGAACGATCAAAGAGGTATCTGATCAAAATGGGGATTAGAGTTCAAATTGGAACCATAAAAGATCAATACCCAATATACTATAGATAAATATAATTCATAAGTTATCCTTAGACCCTGATAAATGTTTATACTTACAGAAAATAAGAATTAAAAGTCCCATAATTCCATGACATTGTACTAATGTTGATTAACATTTTTTTGCAGAGTTCTGTTTAAAGTCTGTATAATGACTGTTTTAAAAGTTGAAAAGCATTTTGAAATCGAATATTCAAGGGATTTTATTTCAAGGGAGTGAAAATTGAGCTTCAGAGAGCTTGTTATTTGACAAATAACTGCAGAATCATTACTAGAATTTGAGTTTCCTATCTATCTCTCCCCTTTCCAATAAGATATATTGATATTGCAGGATAAATATCATCATGAACAACAAAGCCATATGTTTGTTAAATGCATGAACCAAGACTAGATTAAAAATGATCATTACCATATAACTAGAAAAAAATCAATATAAAAATAGGGCAAATAAACTAAGAACTAAACAATAAAGCATCTTAGTTTTGCATCCGCATATGAGATATTATAGGAGATGCTTTCACTCCCTCCCTGATTGTTGAAACAAAATAAATTTAATTAAATATAAAAGTTAACACAGAAAAAAAATCTATGAAATGTCACTCCTCTGTCCTTTCATACCGAACTTCATAAAATTATTAAGGCACTCATTTTTATAATTATGCTTACTATATCTCTCTCTAGATAATGAGCCCCTAGAGAGAAAATTCTACATTTCATCCATTTCTGTGTACTAAGTGTCTGGTACAATGGTCACATATAATTAGGAATAAGTAAATTTTTAAGATATATGAATGTGTGCATTGTTTTCAAAATGTTATGCGTGCATCTCTTTCACAAACATTTGTGTAATTTTGTTCTTAATGAAAAGTTGGCAAAATATATTTCAAAACTAATTTCTTAGTTACTTTTATGCTGTTTAAGTGAAATTATTTGTAATTTTCCTTTGTATCTAGAAATAATAAATCATCTATGAATTTAAACTTGAAAGTCAAGATACTAATATATTTTTAAAGACAGGTAAATGAAACCCTGGATTCTCACCAGGACCCTTAGCAATCCTCATTAAGTGAATAATAAATTTATTTCACATAAAAAAATACAAAAAGAAAAGGTTAATGATTTCCTTGTGTACACCTAGATAGCAGGCTTCATAGATTGATTACCAAAAGAAATAACTCTGCTGTTCTTGTGTTATTAGTCTAACTAGATATTATGTAGAGTTTATAGATAATAACTGATGGATCAATAGTTTGCTATGTTTATTTTATTATTCAAAATTTATTTTATGTTTAAAAATTTTATTTTTAAATGATGGCAACATATGTACAAACATGTTTGATATAATTGTTATAAGAGCTGCAAGAATCCCCAATATAGTCATCTTTAAAAGGGAAATAAAGTAAAATTTTAAAAATTTATTAAAAAGATAATTGTAGCAAAGTCACCATTTGTATCATTAAAATGCATGATTTTAGTAAGATTTTAGTAAGAATACCCTTAGTGTTTCCTTCGGAAAATTGCCAGCTGATTTTTATTCATTATTTATTTGAAATATATATTCCTTCTTTGGTGATATCTAATAAGGAGGTTCTCTTTTATAATTTTTAAAGTTCTCCATAAAATCAGGTGTACAACACAGCATACAGAAAAAACCATAACATGCTCCTTCCTTCTCTAAAACCTATTTTAAAATTAAGTTTATTAGAAAAGTGTATTTTAGTGTCTTTCTAAGTGCAGAGGCTACAGTAAGTGCGTAACGGATCGATGCCAATTTTGGAAGGGATTCCAGGGAACGGAATGGGTCCCTTAGCAGACCAAAACAAGAAGGAAGACACTGTTATATAAGAATTAATTTTCATCCGGTCGCTTCTGTAGGAAAACTGATCTCATTCCCACTAGAGAATATCTCCTATTCTTAATCCAAGCCACCTCACGATTATATACCACAAGGATAACAGAAGTGGTAAACTGCAGCTTTCCTGTTTTGGGCATGCACGCCACAATTGCTTGCAGGATCTGACTGCAGTGAAAGAGAACTCTGGAGCCAAAAAGCAAGAGATGCATGCTTCAATTAGGCAAATTATTTACCACTGATTTTCATAACCCTTGCTAGAGTACCAGGGTGAGCTGAAGGAAAGTGAAGTGGAACATAAGTGGTTGATATGGTAATCGAAGTTCTCATTTCATATTTGGAAATTCTACCAAATGAAAGTGGTCCTGCTTGTCTATCTTGCAATATAAGCATAACACTGACCTCTGGTGAAGAAAAATATTCATTTAGAATGAATATATTATTGACAGTTTCATCACTATCACATTTAATCATGTTTAAAGTTTTGCACTGGCATTCCTTATTTCCCAATGTCTTACAAATAAAACGATAGGGAAAAGAACAGTGTATCTGTGTATGTATTTATGTATGTATATAAAAAGATATAGCTAGGTCCAATGATCTCACTGCCATTTATTCAATTCTAACTAAGAACCATCTCCATTAGGTTTTTTGAGACTTATTTTTTCACTGGAGCAAACAGTGTCGTCCTCCTTCTACAGAGTGGCTGGGGGGTTTGAACTGTGGGCTTTGGAGTTAGTGATCCAACACGTAACACACACCCACAAGGGTTTCTTGTTGTTGTTACATGCCGTCAAGTTGGTTCAAGCTCATCGCAAACCGTTTATGTACAACAGAACCCAACGTTGCCCAGTCCAACTCCACTGTCTTAACTGCTAGAAGGTTTGAGCCCATTGCTAAAGGAACTGTGTCAATTCATCTCACAAGGAGTCTTCTTTGTTGCCCCCCTTCCCATTACCAAGCACGATGTCCATATCTAGAGACTGGTCTCTCCTCAGAACATGTCTCAAGTACATGAAACGAGGTCTTGCCTTACTCACTCCCGAGCAGCAGTTTAACTGTACTTCAACAAGTACAAGGTAGGACAGTGGTTTTCCAAGATCATAGAACAAGGCGGAGATCAAGGGACTTAAAGACGGAAAGGTCAAGGACCAGAGATATGCCCACCAGGAGGCCTGAGAAAAGGCATTTTGAACAAGAAAGGACTTATGAAAACATAAAAAGACAACTGAAATAATATTACTGGTGGACACGAAAGGGAACACTAGGGGAAATAGATGGAATTCAACACCAATGGGTACAAGAAGGAAGAAAATGTTCTAAAGTTGATTGCAGTGATGATACATAGCCCTTCTTAATAAAATTTAACTTGGATTCCTCTCCCTACTAAACTCAGAGAAGGTCAAGCATAGTTTTTGCCATTTCCCATGGATAGAAAAAAGGAAAGAACAATGAGCTTGAGATATGCAATGAAAAATTTAGGGACTAATCAGAGATGAAGAATTATAATGTTTCAATAAAGCAAATTTCAAAGACTTCATTTTTATATGTAAATGGCTAGTGAATTGGGAGACTGGATATATTAAGAAAGGGAGCCATGAGGCTGAGTATTTCTTACAAAGACAATCACAATCCAAGGAATAAATCTGAATAAAGATCAAGAGATTAACTTAAAGAAAGAAGTTTATAAATATCAGGCAATAGGGCTTATATTTACATCTGCAAAAGGAACTACTAAAAATGCAAATTTGCCCACAAAAATATGCTTCTACTGGTTTCTGGGGAACAGGCCCCAGGACATTACACTAGGGTTTTGTAGAGTAACCATCGCATGGAGTGTCACAAATGAAAACCACCATAGCGCAGAGAGCGTCTTAAAGTGTGATATAGTCCCAGTTGGCAATGAAAAGAAAAACGGCTTCATTTATCTCCAAAAATATTGTGTGCAGAGAATAAAAGCACAGCAGAAATTATTTTATGATCTCTAACTTTTGATAATAAAAACATATTTAACAATTAATTAAACAGTGATAAGAATAAAACCATTTGGATGGTGAAACAAATACGTTGAGTTCATTTTTTTAAAACAGGGTCATTTTTGAGTTGAGAGTAAGACACCCAAGTGGAAATACCCTATAGAGTTTTGTAAAATGAAATGGAAGATAAGTATACATTAGAATGGTGCATATTAAATTTTAGCTCCATCAGCACCACTGGGAGAGAAAACGAATGTTTTCTAGGATTTAGCACAAAGCAAAAAAGTGCTAAGAATGAAATATTAAGAAACAGAAACAGATGGAAGAAAAATTGTGATCATAAAATGTACAGGAAAACTAGAAGAATCTGTAAAGTATAAAATTTTTAAACATTTTAAATAAATTATGGCAATGTAATATAAAGTGAATGTAACATGCTTCCATTCATAGAATGTTATTTGCCATGTGACATTTTATCATAGGAAAAATTGATGAGGAGAAGTAAAAAGTAGTTTAGCTATTGATACTTAAATGATTTCCAAACCAAAAATCAGACTTCCCACCACATTACACCTGCTTCTATTTTCCAGTTCTCACTTTCAATGAGAGACCCATTTACTGTATTAGTCAATGAGGATTTGTACTTACTCTCAACTCTTCCTTCAATGATTGTGTAGGAGCTCCCTTGGTTTTGTTTCCCCAGAAAACTCACAGCAGATAATGTAGTCTGTTTTGTATGTACTGCTTCTCATCTAAAACAAAGCCAAAATAAAAAATATATAAAATGGAATTATTATTGATGGGAACATCTGCACTACAAGAAACTGTGCAAGTGTCTTACATTCTGTAGCAAAAAAGTAAGATTAGTGTTTTAAGGTCTAGCTAAGAAGACTGGATTCTTTCTATTCACATTCACCGGATTTGGCTCACCAGACTTTTAATCATACACAAGCAGCTTACTGAATCCTTGGTTAATACCCTTAGATGGAAATTAACTTTACTGTTGATTAGGTAGAAACATATTTGAGCTTGTGCCACAAATTAAAGAGACAGAATCTAACTTTCTTTAAAAACACTTTAATCAATCATTAAACTCAGGTGTATGCATAGGTATTTTTAGAAATAACTATAAAATTTTCAAAGGAAACAACAATTATAACATGTCTTAGCTATCTAGTGTTGCTATAACAGAAATATCACAAGTGGATGAGTTTAACAAACAGAAATTTATTTTCTCACAGATTGGGAGGCTCCGGAGAAAGTCCTTGTCTCTGTGAGCATCGGTGCCTGAGCAACCATGTGATTCGGCATATGTTTTATCCTATGTTTGCTTGCCTCATCTCTTTTTAACTCTTGTAAGTGATTAATTTAAAATACACCCCAAGTAACATAACAGAAAATACATTACCAAATGGGATTATAACCACAGACATAGAGGTTAGGGTTTACAACACGTATTTTTTATGGACACAGTTCAATCCTTAACACAGCAATTCTTAAATATCTATTTGCTTCAATGGGACTAAAAAAAAGAAAATACCAAGTTCTCGGAGATTTTATTTTTTGAAATGACCCTGCATTGAAATTTAAATTGCAGTAAATATACATCTATATCTATATTAGTATATCTATATTATGATATATACTCAGACCACGTAAATTATCACCAACATGTAGATTTGTTGTTTTCTCTGCTCTTCTTTGTTTAAAGCAATTTCCACTTCAAATTGCTCATATTTGTCCAACTTCAACCTGCTAATTGTCGTCTGTCCACTTTGCAATGACTCTACCTATGCAATACAGTTCCTCAATGCAAGCTTTTGAAAGCTATTTATTAAAATTAAAATTCTGGACACTTATAAAAAAAAGGAATGTTACACCATGTATCTTAGAGAAAAAATAGTGACATTATCATATTTATGTTTATATCATATCTTTGCCATCAAAAAGGAGAGATAAAAACATTGAAAGCTACAAATCTACAATTAAATAGACATTTATTTTTGGAAAATTTGTCCCTGGCAGGTTATCTTTTGGTTTATTTTCTCTCCCTGCCTTAAATGTTCTCAGTATTTTGAGAAAATTATGCATTACAATGGCAGTCTTTCAATACTTTTCAGTATGTAACATTCAGATCAAACTTCTAGTTACAAAGTGTATGCTAAGCATATTGTTTCCAATTAAATTAGTTTAAATGTTTAAAAGAATGCTAACTTTTTTGTAGAAAATTTCAATAAAGGTTAGCTTAAAACCTTACTAAATTGATTTAAAAATGAGTAAGCTCTAGGAATTCATTTTTTACATTTAGTTAGAAGATTTTCCTTTGTGGTATGGTTGAATTGGTTGAACATCAAACAATGCTTTTGTTCCATATGGTAACATATGATCAACTGCCAATGATATTGAAAAAAAAAGTCCAATTGCACTTCCGGTATTAGCAAAAACAAGTCTCCATGTATTGACAGTATTGTTTATGGAGCAAGTCATTCAAACTGAACAAGAAAATACTGCAAAACTTCAAATTATGAATGGTATGTTTCAGGGTTATAGCCTTTCACCATTTTTATTCCATCTGTATGCTTTGCAAGTTAAATGAGAAGCGTGAAGAATGCTGCACCAGAATTGGAGGGAGGCTCGTTAACAAACTTCACTGTGCATACGACACCATCTTCCTGACGGAAAGCAAGAAGGGCCTGAAGCATCTGCTAATAAAAATCAAAGACTACAACCTGCAGTGCAGGTCGCAGTTCAATATAAAGAAAACTGACCAATACACAGACTGAATTTTCAATAATTAGGCTCTAAATATCAGGGTTTTACCCAAATATATGTGTTATGTGAAAACAGAGATTGACTACATCAGATCACAAAGTGGAACATAATCATATCACTACATAAATGCCAAATTACATCCTTTTTTAAAAAGAATTAATATGCTTTATTCACAATATGCCTTATAAAAGCAGATTACTCACAATGTTTAAAAACCACTCAAAGCAATATTATCTATTGTTTAAAGATATATACTTAGGGGGTATTGAGGTAGTTTATTGTGCCAATCTGGCTGATAAACACATGTGGGATTAATTGAAGGGTGGAGGGATAAATGGCTCCATGAGCCCGCCTTTCTAGTTTTCAGGTCTCTTGCTTTCTGATGGTTGGACCAGGGTGCAGCTGCCTTAGCCAGTTCCTGCTTCAGCTGGCAAGGCTCACTTCCTGCAGGGCATCCTCAAGGAGAAGCTACATGGACCCACCCCGATGCAGCCCTGGGTGCTGGAGCAGCTGTGTGGAGATCCCTGCCAGTGCTGAGATGCTTACACAGTCACTGATTTGGCTTTCTTCCTGCAGTCGGCATCATTGTGTCTGTTTTGTGAGATGGAGGAGGACTTTGTGGATTGGTGTTGGACATATGGACTAATGTTGGACTTGTGGGCTTGGGCAGCACTGGGTTGGGATGTTTTCTTAATGTGCACTTAACCTTTATATAAAACTCTCTCTTATACATATGAGTTTCAGTGGATTTTTTTCTCTAAAGTATCTAGATTAACACAGGTATAAACATATAAAACAGACCAAAAAGATATTTTGATTACCTGAGATGGAAGGGAAGATAAATAATATGGGGTAAGGAGACTTTATGTATATGAGTAGCTTCAAAAGTACATGGAAATATTCTATTATTTTCAATTCCATTTTCTATAAACTGTTTTCCCATTTTCTTGGGAGCTTTACAGATATAACAATCCATAGACAAATAACATCAAGCATCATTTTCAAAACAGGTTTTCTTCTTGCACTTTGTATAAAGATTTAACTACTCCCCACGCCCAGCCCCAAGGAACCTTGTTATTATATCAAATGTTATTATTGTTACTTATCTACACAACCCCACTACCCCCTGTATCTGACACCGTCCAATGAATCTGTTCATCTGCCATTCTGTTGTTTGTTCCCCTTCAGTGGGGTTTTTTAGTTATCATTTCTATCAATGATAACTCCCTACCCTCCCCACCTTCCCTTTCTTTACCCTCAAGGAATCATTATGCCTTTACAATTCCTGAAGGATTTATCTATCTTGAATTTCAAGCATTGAACAATCTTAATTACAAAAATGAACTTATGCAGGTCTAACAGGATTAAGGAGGTAAACTAATAGTAGGGGGAGTAAATAGTAATGAACTGGAGGATTGTTATATGTTTCCACAGTGCTATACTGCACCCTGTATATATAATCCCGTCCATGTGGCCATTCTGTGAAGGATAATTATCTTATAGGTGGGGTTTGGGTCTCCACTTTGTCTATGCACCTTCACTTCAATTTAGTTGCTTGTTTTTGAATTTCTAATACCTATTCCTATAGACACCTCTTGATCACACAGGCTAGTGTGCTTCTTCCATATGGGCTTTGTTGCTTTCCTGAGAGATGGCTGCTTGTTTAACTTCAAGCTTTAAGACACCAGACACTATATCTTTTACTATATGGGCACCACAAACTTTCCTCACCACGCTTGCTTATGCACATATTTTGTCTTCAGCAATCTTGTTGTGAAGACCAGATATATATCTTTACAAACATATACATTTGTAAATTTTATATCTAGGATCTGTAGAGGCTGGATTCTATTTATATAAATATTCTTATCTTTATATATTTATATATATTCATGTCTATATTTACAACTATAAATATAATTTATACTTTCTTATTCCTTCCTCTATTTCTTTTTCCTTTCCTCCTGCCCCACTATCATATTTACCCATTGTTTGTCTCTCAGTAGTTTCTCTCGGATGCCTTTCAATTGATCAAACAAGACCAGGAAGGCTGGGCCCTCGTCACCTCCTCACCATCACTTCTGGATCCCTTGCTATTCCCGTCCTCATCGTTATTGGCCCCACACCCCCGCCAAACCTTCTGTTCCATTGCCAGCTCCTTGGATTGTTTATCCTGCCTATCTTATATAGACATACAGCAAAAGAGAAAGAGAAAGAAAAGAAGCAGCAGAAGAAGAAAGGAACCCAGGCTGGGAGCATGACCAGCCCACATGGGGACAAACCAAGAGCAGAGTGAAACAGACCAGCATGGGAGCAGAGCCTCGAAATCCCTGAGGAATCTCGATAGCAGACATCTGACTCGCGGGCAGCACTTGGTGCCCCATCTGAACTGGTTGGGGGATGTTCACATAAGGGCCACATTGAAAGTTGTAGGCATAACGGGGTAAGGGGTGGAGCCCTAGATTGCTCCAGCTTGACTGCAGGAAGAACAACAGGGTTTGTAGAAGGTGTGCCCTTTGGACACAAACCTTGCGGACTCAGAGGTTCTAAGCGCTGTGGGGTAAGCGGGTCTTGGGAGACGGATCCCCAAAAGAAAATGCGACTGTACGGATGGATTTTATCAGGATTTGCTTGCTAGTTAGCAGAGAGATACTAATTTACTCGGGTCCAGGACAATACTTAGATATAGAGCTAAATTATGTCCTTATATAATTGTCACGCCACCAGGTATTGAGATCCTTCAAAGTTCACATCTTAACAATCTTAACAATCATAGCCAATGCTAGTCTCACTTCACAACGTACTGTATGTTACTGCTACACATACATTGTTAATATAGTAAATAGATTTGTTTACTACTGTCATAAATGTAGACTGTTAGTAATGAGATCGTCTATAAGAGAGGAGTGTGTGTAATACACTTTATCGTGGTTGGTCCATAACAGAAAGTTGATAACCCATGGCCTATATTATCATTCAT